CTTGCTGTCAATTCAGTATTTCCAAAAACAGTTTTGTTTAAATAGTGCTAAGGGGTTTCTTAAGTGATTTAGTTACTTTGTCAATTGCAAATTACTGTTTAGTGATACAGGTGATTATGCCACCCAAGAAATGCCCTTTCTATGGAAAGTCTTCTGCCACTAAAAGAACGCAAGCACAAAGAGCAGCTGAACAGAAGAAGAATGCAATGAAAGAATTCAAGCACAAGCTGCAAGACAGGCTGCTCAAATACAGGAAGAGACTTTGGAACAACGTAAAGTTAGACTTCGAGCTCAAGCTGAAAGGCAGGTTACTCAAAGACAGCAAGAAACTGTTGAACAGCACAAAGCCAGAGCTCAGTCAGAATCATCAAGGCAAGCTGGATATAAATAACAAGAAACTTCTGAACAATGTCAAACCAGACTTCAAGCACAAAAATTAAGACAAATATCTTACAGAGAGCAAGAAACAGAGGAGCAACATGATGTACGACTTTAGGCTCAAAGAACAAGACAAGCTCAAACACGATCTAATTTCAAATAAAGCTTTGTTTAATTAAATGCTTTTTTATTTCTCACATCACAGCTTTTGTCTACTTACTGAGTAATTTGCTGAAAAAAAATACTGATCTATACATTTCAAATCTAACTCAGTTAGTATATATATTTGTATTAATTTTTTTAATCTTAAACTTAGGTCTTGACATTCCCCAAGTTGAGATGGTCATTAATTATAATGTACCATCAGTGGCAAAAGATTATGTCCACCGAGTTGGGCGAACAGCACGTGCAGGACGGGGAGGAATGGCTGTTACCTTGGTAACTCAATATGACATCAATCTGATTCATGCAGTAGAAAAGTTAATTAATACAAAATTAACACTTCTTGAAACTAAAGGTAAGAGAAAAACATTTTAAGTAAAATCTGTACAAGGAATGTTTTTATGTTATTAGAATAAGTTGTTATAAAAGTAGATCTGCTGAATATGATTAGTTTCTGTGATTGCATGGGAAAAATTTTACTAAACTCTTCAAAAGGAATTTAATTTTCAATTCACAAAATGAATGCTACTTAAGTGACAAAGAAAACACTACATGGAAAGGAAAAGTCAGGTCTTATGTTTCTGTGTTATTTCTGAATTTTATAAGTACATTGCTGTTATATCAGGGTTCGTATTTTTTATAAAATTTATGTATTTGTTTAATGATTAAATAGACTCATGGATATCTAAGTCAAATTTTTATAAGATGTCATAGAGAAAGCTATTCAATAAGTTAACTTTTGATATTGTTTATTAAAATGTTAAAGTTTATAGAAAATTAGCTTGGGGGACAAAAATCAGTGGGTGATAAATGATAAATTTTTTTCAATGACAATAATTTGACCATTAAGGTCCTTCAGGGGTCTGTTTTGGTTACTATTGCTGGTCATTACGAACTTCTAAGTAATTCTATTTTATAATTTTCTTGCAATAAATAAGGTGCTGAAAAAAAGGATTTTTCAGATAATTTTGTTTTTAATTCAGAAGTACAGGGACAATTAATGTAGATATTGATAATACAAGTAACAAGTTTTAAACTGATAAATGTAAAGTTATTTCCATAGAGTACTCAAATTTTGAAAGGATTTACTTCTGTGAGAAGAATTGCTATTGTTATGAAGTAAAATAAAATAATTTATGTGAAGTTACTGAGATGTAAATGCCTCACAGGTATTAAGGAACATCTCTTTATGCTAATGTGCAACTCTAAGAATTGTGGCAAATTTGTCTAAATGGTAATTTTGCTAACAATTATCTATAGAATTAGCCATATTACTTAGAAATTTTGGTAGCCAGCTTAAGTACTGCTGTTAGAAAATGGGGAAAGAGGATTAGGAACTGAAATCAAGGAAGCAAAACAGGAAATGGAGTTTGGGTAATGTATGCTTTGGAAAAGGGTAAGAATGAGAGAGTGCTGAGTTTACAAGGGTATACAGTTGTAAAAACTTAGGGCTAAAGAATGTTGAGGTACCAGATTAATACACTGAGCCTTTGGCTACTTTCAGTTAGGAAAAATTCTTTAATTATACATACTGATAAATATCTTTATAGTTGAGAGCATATAAAGATTAGGTCTATCTTTCTGCTTGCTATGTGCTAAAATAGAAAATACAGAGTGTATTACCAAGTCGTAAAACAAAGATTATCAAAGATATGCTTAGGGTAATGGTGAGCTGTATGTTACTGTGGGGTGGTTTTCAGCGTAAGGGTGAATTTTATGCTAAAGATGGGTTAAGCAGGCTAGGTAATGTTTGGGGAAGCTCTAAAGAAATTTGTTAAAGATAGTTTAAACTAGAATTGCATAATGTTGAGAGATCTTAACAGACTTGCAAGTTGATAGAATAGCTAGGGTAAGGAAAGGACTGGAATAGAACATAACAAATTAAATAATAATTTTAAAGATAAGCCTGTCAGATTTATAGATGAGCTTAGTTGTTATTCTGTGTTAGGAGTATCATGAATAAAATGGTTGTGTTAATTTAAAGACTCAAGTTTAAATGAGGGACTACGATACAATAAAAGTTACTGAGACTTGATTAGATTTGGAGAATGAATATTGATAGTTGGAATTATTTTAAAATTCCAAGTTATAAATTATTTGATATTGATAGCATTTTAATAAAGGGGATAGGGTGAATCTTTATTTAAAGAATGAACTTCAGTATGTCGAGACTGAAGATGTAAAATACTGAGCCAAGAGCAGTATTTCTAACCTTGGACATTCTATGGAAAATATTTGACCTGACTCATGTAGATATTAATCCCTTGGTGGTAAAAAGTAAGGTTGGGAGATTAAATATAAGTAAAGACTTAGATCACACAATATTTTTCTGGACGTTTAAAGGAGGTCAAAGATCAGATATGCTGGCCTTTCTCTCTCTCATTTATGATAAGTCAGTAGACGGTAGGTTGGTGTCTGAGAATGATAGTGGCTAATATTACCTATAATTTAAAAAAAAAGTGGTGAGATTTCCCTTAGAAATAATAGAGCTGTTAGTCTTACTTCTGTAGTTGGAAAAATTCTAGTCTGATAAAGGAAGCTTGGTAAAATCATCTCGTAAAATATATCATAAAAAGGAATCATCATTGATTCACTGAAGGGAAGTCTTCCTTTACTAATCTGTAAACGTTTTTCAAGGATGTTACATGTTATCAGGATGGTGGAAAGGATGTGAATGTGGTAAACTGGATTTTCAAAATATTTTTGATAAGGTGCCACACAAAAGATTAATTTTTTAAAAATCACATTGGTGGATGTTTAGGAAGGACAAGCAAATAGGATTATAGAATGGTTAATTGAGAGAGAGGGCATAAAGTTGTTATTAATGGAGTCCAGTCAAACTAGGCTCAGCGGTCAGTGTTTGAATCTTTGTTTTTCTTATTTTTGATAATGATACTTATAGGAACATAATTAGTAAATTAGTAAAAAAGTTTACTGATAGCATTAAACTCTTGAGTATTTTTATTTGTATTGAGGATGTTGAGGTATTACAAAATGACTTGGATCAATTAGTAATTTGAATAATTATCTAGAAAGTAACTTTTTAATTATAGTTATTACAAAGTAATGCATTTGTATTATTTTAATGTGGATAACACATTTAATATAGATGTGAACCCACTCAATGATATGACTTAAGAAAATGGTCTTAGCATAGAGGTGGATAAGTCATCTAATCTCTGGAAGTAGTTCTCTGTTGCTAGTAATAAAATGATTAGATTAGATGTGTATTTTATAGACATATTGACTACAAGACAAAAGAGGTAATTATTCAGATAAATCACTAATCAGACCTTACTTGGAATACTTGTTTATAATTTGGTCTAAAAAGGATATTGGCTTATTGTACTCCGGATGAGGATTGTATGAACTTGACATGGTGATGAAGCTTTCATGTTTTCATGACCCTGAGACTTATGCTGGTAGTTGAGTAGTTGTTACTGATAGGGTCTCCTTAGCTGGAACAGGTCATTGGTGGTTATGGATCAGAACAGAAAACTGATGGCTAAAAACCTTTGAATAAGTCCTTAAAAGGAAATGGGTAGGATGTCCATCTTGTAGTGGTGTGCAAGAAATATGCTTGTTCTCTGTGAAAAATGGTCGAGGGTTACCATGTCAAGGATGGGCACAGCCTAGAAGTTAATCTGGAAACTACTGGATTGGAACAAATGGAAACAAAGGACTCTTAAAGCTTACCTCATAATCAAATGTGATAAATGCTAAGATGATGATGCTGATTATGGATGATATTGATTTATTGGAAAGAGTTTAGGGGAGGGCTAATAGAACAATTCCAGAGAATGAAATTGTTATCTTTCGTGAATAAGTTAAGATCTCTTAACATGTTTTCTCTTGAAAAAAAAATAAAGGTAAGAAGCAATCTTGTTAAAATTACAAGATTATCCAGGGGATTAATAGGGTAAAGACCCCTGATGTTTTTGTTTTCTATTCTGAAGACAATAGGATCAGATGACACAAGTTTAAGATTTGGAAAAGACAGACTAGGCTCATGTTAATTTTGTAATGGGATGTTTGGCTTATTGAATGATTTGTAATCTGGAAGCCGGAACTTTAAAAAAAATTAAAAGGGGCATCAATTTCCTTAAAAAATGAAGAGTATTTTAAATTTTTATTTTTTCTTAAAGGTGGGTGTGCAGGGACAGCTTTGAAAGACCAAATGGTCCCTTGTTGTCCATATTTTATGTTAAAGTGTAATTTCAGTTGTCTAGATGAGTGTTTGCTTCGTTGATCATTTTTGTGATTATGAAATGTTATTGATTGTGTCAAATATTGACTAGATAGCAATTAACATAATATATGCAAATTCAGTTGTCATCATATGAAGTAAAGTCTGGAGTTAAAACAATCACTCATTGTTTTCTATACATTTATGTGTTACTTGCACAAACAATATCATTAGTTTTAATGAGAAATATGATGAATAGTTGAGTGCTTTTAAAAGGTTTTTTTTTTCTAGGTTTTTCATGCAAGTTTTGTATAATATCATCAGTTAAAAATAATCTCATTTTCTTCTTTTAAAAAGTCTATGTGTTATACATCAGGTTTGTAATAAATTTCTGAGGAATACTGTTAGTGTAACAATATAAAGTTAATTTTATTTTTTCTCAGAAAAGGAAGTATTAAATATTTTGACCCAAGTGGCGGTGGCTATGCGAGAAGCTGAAATTCGATTAGATGAAATAGACTTTGGAGAGAAGAGGATGATTAATAAGAGAAAGAAATTAATTCTTGAAGGAAAAGATCCTGAGAAGGAAGAAAGAAAGAAACAGCTTAGAAAGAAATTGAAAGAAAAGAGCCAAAGAAGAAAACAGAAACTCAGGCGAAAAGAAAAAATTAAGTCAAAACAAGCCGCAAAGTCTGAAGATCCTACATAAAATGCATTAATCATAGTTAGTGTAAATAATCTTTTGATATTCAAAATAAATATAGGTATTTTGTAAATGTCCGTTCCTTTAATGAAGTCTTTCTTTACTCATGTTAATTTGAATTTTTGAGGCTTTATTGGAATTCAGTGGGAAGCAAATGAATTGAAAACTAAAGTGAAAAACTTCTCTGTAATGTAGTTAACAATGAAAAAAATTATTATTCTAAGACACAACAAACTTTTATCACTAGAAACGTTTGGATTAAACCTACGATACTCTCATCGGAATAAGCTCTCCTCATCCGATGATGTCAGATACTTGAAGTTGCATGTTGCAGTTTTGACAATAGTGTTGAAATGGTTTCACTAAATAAGATCTCTGAAAGCTTGTGTGAATACCTTCTAAACATAAGTTGCTTTGTCATTACAGTAAAAATAGATAATACATTTACTACCTGTTGTAAACATGTAGATATGTTACTATTTATTATACACATACACACAAGCTTAAACTTAAATATTGTTACGTATCTGCTTGTTTGTTTGTTTCCAGTAGAAATTCTTTCCGAGGACCTTCAGCGATACAAGTCCTTTCTTGATTAGACGAGTTTATTCTTCCTCGATACAAACTTTTAGTACACAGTAGTTCCACAATCAGTACATTTCCCATCACTTTAAACTTAACAACTTTTATAATACACGCTATAAATCACAGCAATTTACAATCTCGATAACTTTGCTTTCGACGAGCACAAAATACACAATTTACGGCTCACTAGCTCGAAACTAACAGAATCATAAATTACACAGAACTCAAAGTAACTACTGCTCTCTCTTGATTCATATCCGCTGGTTTCCCCTGCCAGGCTTATATACTAACGAAGAGGGCATCTCGATCACACTCGGACTTCCCCGATCATTCGAGAAACTCAGCAGCATCACGTGACTTTCGCTGTCTTAACACTGCCCCTTCTTAGTATTGTTCATCTCGAACAATAGCCACTTGCATTAAACTAATAGATAATTAACAATAACTTAATTAAATGTACAGAAGTTACAAACACAAAATTAAAATACAACAAGGTCTCACAATTTTACAGGACGTTTCTTCTTTCGTACTTGTCTCTGTCTCATTGGCTTCTGCTTCATGCGGGATTCATCTGCACCATCAGGAAATGTCCCATTATCGGTAGCAGTGACATTAGTGGTAGTAACTTCATTAGCGGCTTCACTGTTTTCCCTCTCAAAACCAAGATGAGTTTCTTCTTCAACAGTGGCTTTTCCAGGTGACACATCTTCAGCAGCATCATTTGTTTTCTTGTTCATTTCGTTCCAACTGAAATGTTTTGGGCCGTGATAACGCCAAAGCCTGTTGGCATGCACCACCTTTGGCTTACCTCGCTGTCCACATTTTATTTGGAAAGTCATGTCTGAGAGACGATCCACAATGTTATATGGGCATTCCCATGGAGAAGGCAACTTAGGAGACTTCCCTTTGGTCTTCCTGGGATTATACAACCACACCTTGTCTCCTGGTACAAAGCTGACTTCAGTGGATCTCTTATCATAGGTTAACTTCATCGAATCAGCAGACGTTTTCAAGTTTGAATGCACTTGATGGTGAATATCATCCATTCTTTCAGATAACACTTTCCCAAACTCTGACACATTTTCAGGCAACTCTTCATAAGGTGGG